GGCTGCTGGGCGTTTCGTTAATCTACGTAACAGTCGCACTGATAACCTTCAATGGATCTGCCTTGGTCAACAGCCGGACAAGACCAGCATTTTTCAATCGTCCAGCTTCGACAGGTTTCGCATTTGCTACAGAAAACCTTTCAGCACCACTACTCGGCGCTTCACGAGGCCCAGGGTCTTAAGAGTGCTCCGATCAGCCAGCTCCAGCTAGGCCATGCTTTGGGCGCAATTACAGATGGACGTTGTGGTGTCTGAAGCCAGCGCAGTCAATAAAGCGTTTTCAATACCATCAGTCAAAAGGGTGTTCTCGAGCTTAACAACTTCATATTGTAATATATTTGCTTTCATTTGCTAGTGTATCAATAACCACATAACCTACAATTTTAACAACTTTAAGACTTTAATAGGATTCGCCAAGACAGTTCATTAAACAGCGGACATCGTACGGGTAATCCATTTTGGCAAATGATTTGTCACAAAAGAGAAAAACAAACCTATGCATACAAAAAGACGTTTTTCGATGTGATGTGACGTATACCAACGCACGTCCACTTACGTAAAAGACATCAATATAAACAATTGTGACACGATGCAACGCAATGCGAGCTAGTTGATGCTTACAACTCTGGATGAAGCCGAGTGCCAAGGTTCGAACAAAGAAAGAGCAATCGACTTCCTCGAGGACCTAAATACATCATTATGCAAGGAAAACTTCTCCACGTGACGGTATTTTTTCGTCATGATGAGTGGACGTGAAACGCGGGTTACATGCTCACCAGCAAACACATGGGCCAGTGTAAGCTTACATTGTGCTTGAGGAAACAGGATCGAGCCTAACTTCGATTGTGTAAAACGTTTGGAAACCGGGGCGGCCGCATGAGAAACGCTGGAAGCCAGGAAGAGACACACAGAACTGCAGGACCTGTTTCCGAAATTTAGTTAAAGATATGACATAAGGCGAAGTTATTAGGTGTCAGAGCGAATTAAGAACCAAACGGTAAATGAGGACGGAAATAGGGAAAGAAGACCAGCGGAAATAGACGAAAAATTATTATGAACTCAATAAAGCTACGACACTTTCTCGTACTAGTTTTCTAATTCTTTGGCCTGTGTGTTTTCCGTCTTGCCTCATTCTCTTGCATCTATTGCCGCCCAAATGGTTGACACTGCTTCAACAGCCGTAACCGCAAAGTTCATTAACCCGCCACGAGTTGCAACTATCATCTATTTCCGGCCAGAGAACGAAACTGATATCGGCTTTCGTGAGGGGCGGAGGGCCTCGCCGCTCAACACGGTTCGAATATTTCGGCTTGAGGCACAGCTTCAGGGCACAGCCCCTGGGCGGAGGAACTGCGGGGACGGGCAGGGTCGGTGTCGGAGACTGCCGGACGCACGCTCGCCCCGCCCGCCTCGATCGATGGCGGCCCACCGCCGCCCCGCACCGCCGCCGCCGCCCGCCGCCCGCCCACGCGCCGCACCCCCTCAGCGCTGATGTCAACGGCCACTGGTGATCTTAACGGCTGCCGCATGTGGCAATACTTCGTACATGGCCGAACGATCTGCTTGTCCGGCGGGCAGATAATTGTGTGTCGCTTGGTGAACACGATCATAGCGATGAATAAGTACCAAGTTCAGGAACGTTAGAGATGAAGCAACGATCGGATCGACTGCTTTATGAGCACAGTAAAACATGCGTGCGGCACGGAGGTGCAACGGGGATCGGGGTTATGCAGCGTTTCTGAACACAGCACTCCGCCGGACATGAACAGCCGCTCAAACAATGTCCGCATTCTTCATATATTTCGTACCAACGATATGAGAACAAATGGATACATGGTTTCGACTGCTCTCAGGATAAAAAACCCGGATATTGATATTGTCGGGAGTTAGTTTTACAAAGCAAGTCTTCCAATGACAGATCTCTCATTTTAACTCACAATGTCTCCAACAGGCATATAACGACCTTCCAGCAGTCCGTCACATCGACAAACTCAATTACACAGTCTCTCCTAACCGATCGCACGGCTGTTGTTGCGACCACCCGCCCAGCTAGGACGGCCGAAACATCTCAGGGTAGCCTCGACAATTCCAACACTCCCGCCGTAGGACAGAGCGGCCATCCGGCGCGCAAAGTCGGGCGACTCGCGGCTCACGCGGCGCAGGCCAGCGAGCCTGGTTGATCGCGGCGCCAGCGAGGGCTGCGCCCCCCCCCCCGCCGCATGGGCCGGTATTGATTCTAGGCGCGGTTGTGGAGGAAGACGCCGCTCGCGCCGGCGCGCCGCGCCGCCCCGCCGGCCGCGTTGCCCTGCCCCACGTGACGCGGCGCGGCGGCAAAAAGAGCGACGGCGCACAGTCCGTCCCGAAACACATCCAGAGCAGCGCAGGGCTTTTTTCCCCTCCTTTCGGCTTTCTCAAAAGAGCATGTAAGCCGCTTTTAAACAGGGGAGTAAAAACGATCATTTTAACAAATTTCAGTTTATTGTGCGTGTAATGAATATATTTCTCCACTCAATGACCGACAATATACCATAAAAGATTCTTTCCTCCTGCACTCTCATTTAATTCGTTAATAGAATTCCGTATTTTGTTCCCGAAGATGTTTGCGTTTTAGAAATAAGCTTTAGGGTTAGGTCTGCGGCATTTAGTGTCCAGTACAGAAGTATTCCGCAATTCACTTCTTTACCTCCACAGGTTTATGATACTGTGGTATTTTACCTCAGCGAACGAAGAAATAAACCGGAAGAAAAAGAAGGTTTACGAGTCTATCTTTCCTCGCTTTCTTTGTGGGAGGGTGAGGACTGCGTGACATTTTGGCCCATTCCGGCCACTGTGCGACGGTAGGCAGGGGGGCGGCGGGCCGGCGAAGGGGGCGCCGTTGGCGTTGGTCCGCTTGTCGGCTTCAAAGCGAACGGGCGCGCCACAATCATCGCGCGTCATTTCATCCTCCTCCTCAGAGGGAGAGAACAGATGCCATTTGGTGCGACGGTGGGGCGTCACTGGTCCGCAAGAGGAGTTTTAGTTAGAACCGACCATACGGGCAGTAGCGCCGGGGTCGGCTAGAAGATTCGAAGGTTTGTTTTTTGGAGGGGGGGGCGAGGTAAAGATGAAGCCGGGCGACAACGACGGGATCGCAGGAGTACGGAGGTTCCGACCACGTGCTGGCAAATGTGACGTAGGAGGGAGTGTCGCGACATCAGAAACGTGACCGTCTATAAATGGAGGCCGAGATTGCGATGAGCGCGGAAGGCACAAAGGCGGCTCGGGAGCGAGGCGCGATCCTTCGATCCGCGTCAAAACCCGCCGGCTTGAAAGGATGACCGGCGCGGGACGGGGCTGGCAGGATGATTAGTGGCGCCGGCTGCAGCTCGCGCCGTGTATCGCCGGCCGGGCGATGCACGATGAAGGACCTGGCACGGAAGGATCGATCAGATATGAAGACGCTAGGGGCGGGCCGGCGCGCGAGGGTGAGATACGAACGTCGGTCGCGCCGGCGAGGCGTGTTCCACGAGCCAAGCGCGCCGGGCCGGCGGGCAGCGGTAAGGGGCGGCGAGCGCGGCCGCCGGCTTCAAAGGTGGGTGGCGGAGCGGCGCCGGTCCGCCACTTCCACGGCGGCTGAGACGAGTACGCTCTCCATCTGCGGCGATTGCTTTCACTAGCGCCGCGGAGCGCGACCGCGGCGGCCGGCCGCCGGCGGCGGGGGCGAGGGCGGGCGCGGGCGCGTCGCGTGCTGGGGGGTCAGGTAGCGGGGAGCGTGGCGGGCTTGCATAAAGCAGATTTAAGATGAAAAATCGAAAGAGCAGGCGCACATGCAACCCGCTGTGCATTACGGTACGTCGTGCATATCTCGAAATCGATGCATCCTAGGCCCTTAAATTTAATTTTCGATCCTAAAGGGTCGCGAGATGTTTTCATTCCCAGGATTACAAATTGAGACGTTTTGCGTCGTTCTGGTATGGGTTTGAAATGTATCCCTCTCCGTGCATAGCACGCGTGTCAGGAACGTGAGGCGTTGACTTCAGTAAGAAGATTTTCTCACTTTGAAAACAATGATTTAGAAAGTGCGGAATGTTCATGTGGATCCAAGTAGATTTTATTTATTTCATGGGAACCTTTCCACGACTTCGCCATCATCACGATTTGCCAGTGTTAGTCCATTTCTTACCAGATTGATTTGATGCAAGTAATTTATAAAATCATTGCATAAGAAGAAAATCCCTTTTACTGAAAAGAAACTCATTGTTTTGTTTTTTAATGACTTGAAAAGTATTATTTGTGAGAGGCACAGCCACCTCCCCCGCCCTATTCGCATGGGCCGGGCGGCTGCGCGGCGCGCTGCGTTGGGGGCGGTGCCCTCCGCGGAGGGCGTGGCCCGCGCCGCTTTGGCAGGCGCAGCAGCGCCGCGCGCGAATGCACGTCTTTCTCCCGGCACCGGGATCGCTCGCGACTTCCTGCACGGGCGTTTACGCTGCAATTGCGGCCTATTGGAATTAGTTCCGGAAATTGTTGCTGTGTGTTATTTTTAAATAATTTGTTGGTAAGATTCCTGTAACCAAAAGTTAAAGATTTTCCCAGGCCTTTTGTAGTCTTGCGTAATTTTGGATATAGTAGGCGGATTGTAGCAGGAGATAGTAGTGGGATTGGAGGCGGCTGCTAGTAAAGTGGCGATTTCAACACGCGATTTATGTCACCTATAAAAGTGCCCAAATGGAATAAAAATCTTGCCTTCACTCCGAATCCAATTTTACGCTACGCTTTCAGGACATGCACCTGTGAACGAATTGAATTACTTAGACAGGATGTTGATTTAATGAGCAAATTACGTAAAGGAAAGATTACAATGTAATCGTTCATTTGAAATCTTCCGAACGTGTAATTTAAATGTTGCAGGGTCACGTATTTTCTCGAATATTTCTGTGGTTTACCATTCTTCACTATTCGTTTTCATTTACCAATATAAATTAATGTATACCATTGTTTCCTAAGACCTGTTTTGCTTGCAGGCTCGGCCCATGTGACCTCCAGGACCCGGTGTGGGTCAAGATGAGTGCAGCCGTTGCTGGAGGAGTCAACAAGAAACGGAAAAAATCCGACACGAAGCCCCAAGCCCAGCTGTAAGTAAGGCGTTAATCAAGTAAAGTAAAATTTCGGATGGATTGGAGGAAGAGCCCTGTTTCATAATTTCTGATTACTACAAGCACAATCTTCATATACAATCAAGTCGTAATGCATGCAAACATTGAAAGAAGCACTATCTATTAGCTGAAAATGCACAATTAAACATGAAAATGAATGAAATACGTTCTATCAAACTTAAGTAATTTACTCATTTTCTGTTTTCATACCTTTTGTTCCGGGGCACGATTAACAACCTTTGGATGTTTCCTTTATTTTAATACATAATTTTGTCGAAAAAAAAGTGATTTCTATTTGGAAAATTATCTTTCTACGTCACAAGACGTAATACGAGCAACTTTGAAGGACCACATTTTTCTTTTCGCCAGTTCGCTTTCTAAGACCAAACAATAGTAACTCCTCTGAGCGGAATATCGGCTCCGCAAACGCCCCTCATTGATATTTTCCTTCAATATCCGAGCAATTTGCAGACGCTACATCGGACTGTGACCGGCCGGCCGTCTGGCTCGCAGACACCCACCAAAAGCGTTGCATTGCCCACTGCAATGCAACCGCTTATTGTTCATATACCATTGGCTACGAACATGAAGGAAACAATATTTTGAATGAGTTTTGCCTTAGGAAAAAAAAGTCGTAGGTGTTTTTTAATACTTTTGCGAATTGTAAAAGGCGCAGCTAATAAAGAAGCGACATCGACTATTGTCAAGATATATAAAATATGCTGTAGGCCCTGTAGGCTTAATATGCATTACTTTTCTAGGCAGTTATTTTGCGGAAGAAATGTATAATTTTTAAGTAATTACGTAGTTAAAATGTCTTAATAAAAATTGAAATATGCTTTAAAAATTCGTACCGAGTGGGCCGGTCATCCGACGGCACCATTTTAACGGTAGCTCTACACATTCGGCATTCGCTCAGCAACGAGCTTACTGCTTGCCCGATCTCAAACAGCTGATGTCTTGGGTGAATATTTGCTCCCTTTGATGTGTTCTAACGACCTACACGCGCGGAGTAGGGCGAGCACCGAATGTTCGTCACTCGGCAGATGGCAAACAAACCCATCCACACTACTCGGGCTTCGGCGAGCGGTCGCTCGCTACTCGCCTAAATAATGATGTGTGGGGCCGCCGTAAGATCGAGAGGTTTGCCCGTCGGTATGATGAGTCACTTCGGTCACTGCTGGGGTAGTCGTCGCTTTCCGCTCGTCGCTCAGCGACAGTGTTGCCAACATTGAGTGCTGTTAGTTAATGCCTTATGTCTTACGCGTGTCCGACTTCTCTCTAAAATTGGAGCATATCCCTGTTTAATTAGTCTCGTGTACTCGTTTTAAGGGTAAAGTGGATTGAAACATTTATTCAGCCTGAAGCCAGCTTTCAAAACCCTCTAGGGGATTGGAAAGTGAGAAGGCAGTTTGTATCAACAATGTCCTTGAGACTCTAAAGCAGATATTACTACCCTTTTCTTTCATCGACCCCTTTGTAACGAATGGTTTGCTTCATCGACCCTTCATGTTTTTCTCTACAATCTACAGTACGAAACAATCATAACGTAGAAATTTCACATAAATGACATATAAGTACCTAAAGAATTGAATATTACTTTTTGTGCTATTATCTATCATTTTTAATTTTAAAAATATAAACAAGTTTTCAGAATTAAAATGGCGTATTCTAATTGCATAAAAGTTTGGTTTTCATTCGTGTGAATGATGTGAAGTTCCAAAAGAGGTAAGAAAGAAGAATTATATTGACAAATATCATCAAACGAGTTTGCAATTAGTGTAATCTTGTTCTGTATTGTATCGAGCAGTCGCCGGTGTATATTTGTCTCTCGAACCCTCGGGATCAATGATAATCATGAATCGACGTGGGCGATGCTGAGGGAACTCATGTTCTAAAGCGACTGCAAGTAACTGTCGGAAGGATACATTTTCGGCTGACGAAGTACTTCTATTTTTTGTTTCCTCCTTTGAATACCTCCGCAAATGAAGGCCTTGATCGAGAGATTTTCCTGGGTTCGAGTGAAATAGCCTCCGAGAGGGCGCTCAACATCATTTGTGATAGCGCGTGGACATCAAGGCTGTGCCGAGTGCAACGTCCGAGAAATGTAATATAAATTCGTATTCCTCTTCATTAATAAATTTGATTTTTATTTGCTGCTCTAAATTGGTACCCGTTTTGCGTTGTCTTTTACTATATAAAATTTTAAAGGAGAGGATGTGGTTCACCTGAGTGCACTGAGACGGCGGCGTCATGCGTTCAAGACGCAACGCGGGAGAACTCCAAAGTCCCGCAACGTTTTTTTGCAGTGAAGCTCTTTCGATACATTTATTTCTTTGCTCAAAACAGTATAAATTGTATGTGCCGTATGGAGATATAATTTGCGCACGTTTTCTTGAGTTCCGGAATCCTTCCCATCATTTTAACTACAAATAGTTGAAATATGAGTAAAAGTTAAAGATAAATAAATAAAAATAAAATTTAAAAAATCGCAAGACTAGCAACATTTGAAAAACTAGATATTTTAGTTCTCGAGTTTTAGAAAACTTATTTGCAAATTGCAATAGAGTTCAGCAAAACGTGCGCATAATGAAGGTACATTTACGTCCAGAAGCAAAACAAGGGGCCATCTGAGCATTCGCTCACTGCATCAAGGAAATTGGACAAAAACCTGATCGAGATGAGATTTATTTGTGGTGCTTGACGTAAAACAACTGTTGACGGTGTCATCACAGTCAAGCTCCCGATTGGATGACACCGCAACAGCTGATTTATGTCAAGCGCCACTACAAATAAACCGAAGTATAACCGCGTATGATTCATTTCTGCCTCGCTGTAACAGGTGCTTCTTAACTAGGCGACGCCCCGACGCTCGTGTGAGCCGGACCAAAGTTTCAAGATGTTGCCAGCAAATTAACTTTCCCAAACCCGGGATTAGTGAACACTTGACCTCACGCATTACAATAATGTGTGTTCAGTCGTTACATTCTTTGCTCAATAATTTTATTTTCAGTAGTTGAGATCATTGTAATATATTCTGCAGTTCTATATTCGACTGTGTGTCAAATCCTTTTGTTTTATTACGCAGTTTTCTGAAATGCTAATGCCTGACAAGTTTCATCAGCAGCCAACACCCGAGGGAGGGGCTCATGAGGCTTCACTCCCACAATTAACACCCACCACAATCGACATTCTGTATGACGTTCTTTAGTATACAAAAATATAATTGTAAAATATATTTGTTTATTATACAGCATTGGCTTCAGGGGGTGGGCAGAAGCTTGCTAAAGACAATTTGCTAAAGAAAGTCATTCAAAATGTCAATCGCTTATGTTACAAATATTAAATATAAATCAACCAATAAAAATATATTTTATATTCAGTATAAATGAAAAACTATGTTGAGGAAACATCAGGTCAGCTGGACACTAAACCTCTATCCAGCACTCCTCCCCCTAAGGAATATCATGAGTGCACCTCTGAGTACCACAATATTAACTGCACATTTTTTTACTGATCAGTCAGACATATTTGTAGGTATTATTTGCTACCTATCCCATTCACCATATGTAGTGGTCTGCAAAACATTCTTAGTATAGAAACAAAACTGATTTATTGTAATCAGATTATATTTAATAGTTGCACCATTTTTCTATTTATATTTCATTTTCATTTCTTTTCATTAGTTAGTGTGAGTTTGCATGTTAAGTAATTGTGTGTGTTTTTTTGTTTGTACAGTACAAAGTGCCTTAATGAAAAGAAACGACGCGAACAGGAGAACATTTATATCGAGGAGCTGGCTGAGCTGATTTCCGCCAGCCTAGCTGACATGAGCACTATTTCTGTCAAGCCTGACAAGTGTGCCATCCTCCAGGAAACAGTCAACCAGGTATGTTAATTGTTTTTCTGGTATTGTAAACTTAACAATTCCATCCTTTTACATTTGGTGAAATTCGGATTATTTCAGTGCAACAATTTGCTTTCTCTTGTAGATCCGCAACATCAAACAGCAGGAAGGTATTAGCTGTGATGCCGTCCAGCAGGGCGAAGTGTCCTCCACGAAGCATACTCTCCTAGGCAGTGAAGTCTTTGGAAATTTGCTGCTTGAGGTGAGATGTCATTACAGAATTCTTGTTGGGATTTTTTACTCTTGACAATGCCAAACAGTACTTTAAAGAAAGAGGGAAAAAAACAAAAATAACTTGTGTAATAGTGCTGTGTATGTATTGTTCAAGAAAACAAGAGCATTACATTTGGTCTGTATGTAATGAAATTTCATGTAATATGCAAGGTGTGAAAAGAGTATGACAATATTGTGTGTGATTTTGTTGGCTTGATTGCCAAAATAAGAGAAATTTGCGTATATTCCAATGGTAAAATTGAGGTACAACGTTCACATGCCCTGTTTTCCTGAAGGATGTCAGCATTGCTTGAATGTAAAATCAAAATTATGGCTACTGTGTGAATCCATTAAATGTTAAATCTTGCAGAACATATGGCAAAAAAGTTTGGGATCAGTAAGACTCCTTAAGATATTATCTGTTATTCAGCAAATGTACTATGTGCTACTTAGTACCTGTGTTGCATTGATTATATGTTCTTCACAGGCCCTCGAGGGCTTCTTGTTTGTGGTGAACAAGGAGGCCAGTGTAGAGTATGTCTCTGACAACGTATACCAGTTCATCAAGCATAAAAAGGACGAGGTTTTGGGGCAAAGTATCTATAACTTTATTCACCTGGGAGATACAACACGATTTAGCGCCATACTCCTGCCCTTAACATCCACAGGTGTGTGTTCAACGCAACGCGAGAGTGACTTATATTCCTTTATTTATCTATGTAAATGCTTGGTGTACTATAGTTCCATGTTAGAAAGTGGATCTTCAACTTTTGGTACAATATGTTCACTTCCTACAGGCTGGACTACTGAGCCTGTGGTCGCTCGCAATCGGAGTGTGACCTGCAGGCTTTTAATAAAGGAGGAAAATGAGGAAAGGGAGACTATGGAAGAGAAACAACAACGAGTGACGAAGTACGAGACTATGCAGATATCGAGCATTCTCTTATCAAGTGATAAAACAGAGGGAGGCGATGTATCGTCTGAGTCAGCTGAAATGACCCATTGCCTATGTGTGGCACGTCGTATCCCATCAGCTGAGAAAGCGTCTTGTCTTACGAGTGTTGATCATTTAACAATGCGACTAGATCCTAGTGGACATATTGTTGGTGTCGACACCTCTGGGATGACCCCTACCTACCATAGTTATTTTAATAAGGTGAGTCTTCATGGTGGGTTTTAAAAGTGAAAGTGCCTGGAATATCTCTCTCCCAATTCTTTTCATCATAAATTGTGGTCAGGAATAGTCTGTCAAGTGATAATACACAAAGATGCCTTAAAATTACAATTTAATGCCTTTAACAGTGTGAACCGGTTTCACTGATGTTTATATAGCACCATGACAACAGACAAAATCGGAAGAAAGAAATTGCTTCTGCATATGGTAAAAGGATAGTTAAATGCAATTCTTGAATACAAAAATATGAACTGTGAACTTAAATTTCTTTACGTGTGTAGTAGATCACAGTAGTGATAAAAGGGTTTGGGTGGCACTAAATGATAGCCATGGATTTCATCAAGAAAGCTCGTACTGATTGAGAGATTGTGATCTAATTGCATTTTGAATAAGACATAGTTTTTGAAATACTTATATACTTCAGTCAATTCTCCATCATCTCTATGGTAAAGTAGTCTTACTTTACATCTGGCTAAATTGCAGAAATGGCGAATAAAGATTTTGACACAAGAATTTTTAACCAAGACTTTTTATTCATTTGAAGATTATTGTCACACTGAACTGATTAAATTTAGATTGCTAGATGTTGGTGATTTATTAAATTGTGACTTATTCAATCAGTCAAGTGGAAGGAAAATTCTTCAGTTCGTTTAAAACTATTTAATTACTGCGATGAACCTATACATTTTATAAACTAGGAGAAAGAAAGATTCTTTCTTTGTAACTTCACAAATTATCTATATTGTTAAATAAAATATCTTGAACTATGGCGATTCTTCTGATGTTCATGATCATAATTATACTGATTTTAAGGTGGAGATACTGCAATATTTGCAAGAAATTTTTGTATAATCTGCATACTTTTAAAAAATTTCAAGAACAGTTTGAGGAAATACTACTCTAAAATGTTGTAATGAATTGAAGGTAGTAATTCTTCGTTAGACATGGAGTTATGGTGCCATATGAATCTAGAACAGCAACCAGAACATGTTTTAGTGATATTTTGAAGAAAAATGTTTTATACGCAAGAAATTCACATTACACAAAAACACTTTAATTTGTTTTTGTTATGATTTGATTACATTCCATTATTCATTCCTTCAGGAAATCAGTTTTCGGTTGTTTTGTTTTTTGTTTTGTTTTTCCTCCTCTCCTTACATTTACTTGCTCCATTTTGGTTGTAATTGTTGATATTTTTTCCTGTCATAATTTGTTGTCTACTTTGTAACATCTTTGAGTCGGTTGTTTGCAATAATTATTTGAATTTGGGGATACTGATTTCTTATAATTATTTATGTATTCTGATATAAATGCATGTTTATGATTTAGGAACTTGAAGGAAGAAGTATCAGAGATGTGGTTCATCAACAAGATCTACCAAAGTTGACCACCCATTTAAAAGAGGTTTTGCAGTCTGGCCATGGTACCAGTCTTGTCTACAGACTGAAATCTCTGAAGAATCCAGAGAAGTACGTTCAGGTGCAAACAAGATCAAAGTTGTACGATTGTGACAATGAGCCTAACTTCATCATGGCTGTTCACTCCATTATAGCGTGAGTATTTAAACAGCCTCCCAATGTGCATGTTTACTTGGTTCTAAGGCCTGCACCTTGAGCTGTTTATAAATAATACACTTTCTATTCAGGTTTGCAATAAGTGACTGTTGATTTAGAGTTTATTTAAATATTTCTTGACTTGAAAAAGAATATCTAAATTCATCCATTTGTCATGGAATGTGGTAGCAGATACCAAAAATAACTCCTTAATTTCTCTGGTTTCACCCAATTATACTATTAGTTTAAAAAAATAAAATAAAAGAGGGTTGGACGCATTCATGAAGTAAAAATTGTACTTGTGTGTGAAGTTTTAGTTTTTCTTTTTTCTTTCCCTTTTTTACTTCCAAGTGCACATTGGTTTCATTTTAGTAATACGGGGAAGGTATTTATTTTTCAATATGTATAATTATTATATGATAAAAATGGTATGGTTCATGTATGTATTAAATAATTGGTTGCATGTAAAAATGCATTCACCTATCTTTTGCAGGATTTATTTATTTATTTTTTTCATTTTTGTAAACGGTGTTGGAGAGATGGTCGTGTTTCTTGCTTTGGCTCCTTTCTTGATATTTCCAAGTGCATGCCAATAGCTTTTACCCTGGCAACAATAAATTTCCTGCTTATCTTAATCCACTCAGTGGTAAGAGACCTTTCAAAAATCACCTTCATTTATGAAGTATTTGCATTTTGCACACCTCTTTGTGAAGTCCATGTTCTTTTCAGTTACATGATAGAAGTGTGTACAGTGTATATTTCATACATTTTTTTAGAAGAAAATTTAAGTTTCACTGCAGTAGTTTCATGTCATTTTCTTAATTTTCACTGTAGTATTTATTTTCTAAATGTATTACTTAAGAATTATTCTCAAAGTATCATTTGGAAATAAATAATACTATTGATCTTTCTTTTCTTCTCCAATTTCTACCTTCTGCTGAATCAACTGCAGAGAGACTGAATCAGCCCCAGCAGATTGCGGCCATCTCCCCAACTCTCCGCGTTCCATGCTAACTGTGGGACAAAGTAACTCTACCTCTGCATCCTCCTTTGGCAGTACATCATCAGCTAATGGCAGTAACAATTCCCTGGGCGGCCCGTTGGTGAGTGGCTCAGTGAACGGCCAAACAAGTGCAACTTCGAGCAGTAGTGGGCGCAGCAGTGTGGGTGGTGTGAGTTCAAGCAGTTTTGGTCCGAGTGCAGTGAATGACATTAGTAACACTATAGCCCTCAACTCAAGTTCTACGTACCCTACTTTTGGACTGTCTAGCAGCGATCTCAGTTTGAATGACTTTGACTTGTTTCCGTCATCCACATTTGACCTGGCCGACTCTGGTGGAGAGAATAGTCTTGACCAGATGACTGGTCAGACAGGAACAGGTTCTTCTGGTTGGGAACGCCCCAGTTCAAGACAAAGTTTGACACCTGTGTCAACCCCTACCCCACGTCCTCCCAGTGGAGCTGGCCCTTATAGTCCTGCCCAAGCAGGTGGTGTTTGTGCCAGCCCATTGAACCCATACTCCTCTGCAATGCAACCGAGCCCAGCAAGCAGTGCTCAGGCATCCACTCCTGCCAGCCGTTATGCTTACTCTTTCAGCCCGCTGCAAGAACAGGGACCAAATAGTGCTTATGGTTTGGATGACAACAAGGACTCCAAGGAAGGAGCCGGGGAGTTGGGGAACAGTGCTAGTGGGGGAGTGAATGGCAGTGTAGAAGGTGGGTCTTCAACAACTGGCGAGTCAGAGCGACTGCGAATGTTACTTCTTACGACCAAACGACCCAGTGTAAGTGGTGATGATTCGTGCATAAGTGACTCAATGGATCCAAGTGTGGACAATTCAGAAGCTCGTAATAAGCATCGCATCCTCAAAAACCTCTTGAACCCAGATGAAGAGGATGATAGCAGACGGGTAGAGGATTCCTCTACCTTACAAGCAAGTCCAAGTAGCAGAACCAGTCAGCTCAGTAACAGACTTAGTCAAGATTCTCATAATAAAGTTTCTACTGGTAATAACAACATGCTTCTCAGGGTAAGTTAGTTCATTGTACTTCAATATATTTTTATCTCTTGTTATTTAAAAAATGGTTTATTTTTTTGTATTTTTATGTTCAAGTATAAAGAATCACTTTTTAACTTTTTCAATTTTAGTTACTCAATGAAAAAAGTGATGATGATGATTTGGAAATTAAAGCTGGAATCAAAAAACGGAATGAACTTTTACAACAGCTACTAAAAGATCAGGATGAAGAGAAGCCACAAATGGCTCTGGATACTGGTCAGCAACAACAGTTCCAGCAACATCAACATCATCAGCATGGTGAACCTGAGGATCCTTTGCTCCTTAGTTTAGGATTTCCTAACACGTCGTCACCATCACCTCCGTCCAATACCGACTCTTTAGGAGGGCTGTCCTCCCTTATTGGAGGTCGTAAACGTCCTAGCAATGAGGGAGAGGACAGTAATTGCCCTACTAAGATTCGTGCCTCAGTACCAAGTATGGTGCCACATTCAAACCCACCTGTGAGCTCATCTAGTGGTAATAGTAAACTGAGGGAAAAAAACAAAATGTTGGCATCTTTATTGGCTCAACAGCCATCTTTACCCGCCACAATTCCACCTATACCGGCATCGGTAATCTCAGCAACACCTCAAGAACATCTTCCTCCACCCAGGGTGGAACGGCCTAATTTAACTCGAAGTAAGTTGGGGATTGCTTTTCTTTAAAATATTTGCATAATACATCTTTCTTTTAGAGAAGTGCACCATTTTTTGGCATAGAACTAAAATTTAATTGTTAGTGAATAATAATAATAATAATAATAATAATAATAATAATAATAATAAATAATTTATTGCCTGTAGTAAGTAAAATTCACTTGGAATGCTTAAATTGATGTAATTTTCTGCTAGGTGAATCAACTTTTGAAGTGTGCCATTTATCTGGCTTGTCACATTTTTTTCCTTTATATTTGTTGACTTTTCTTAAGCATATGATAATTGAACTCTAATGGTATCAGCAATCAGTTTATTCCTTTGTTGGATATTACTTCAGTTATTTTGATAAACATTTTAATAACTTTTTGTTGTTTCTTTTTTAGATTGGTCTGGGGGTGGTGTACAACCGCCTACAACAAATGTGTCAACCACAAGGCCATTGCAACAAGATCCCAACAGGTCAAATGTACCACGAGTTGGCCCTCCAAGACCTCCTCCTAATAATGCTTTTCTTACGGATATACTTAACAGTCCAGGACAAAAATCGAGTCCTGGGCACCAGCAGCAACAGATGACTTCTCAGGTGCAACAACAACAGGCCCAACAAGTGCAGCAGCAGCAGCAGCAACAGCAGCAGCAACAACAACAGCAGCAGCAGCAGCAGCAGCAAGCTCAACAACAGGCTCAGCAACAGGCGCAGCAGCAGCAGCAGCAGCAGCATCAACAGCAGCAGCATCAACAACAGCAGCAACAGCAGCAGCAGCAACAGCAACAACAACAGCAACAGCAGCAGCAGCAACACCAAGTGCAATCAAGTCAACCAGGTTTGAGTCATTTGGACCAAACATTTGTCCACACGCCTGTTTCTGCCAGCAGTGGAGATTTTCGAATGGGCGAGGGAGCTAGTCCAATGTGGGATAGTCAGTCATCTGACCAAGTTCTGTCTCTTATCCTAGACCAAGTCATTGAATTTGCACCAGAAAATGAAGGTAAGTCTAGTTGGAAGTCGGTGATCATGAAGTCCTGATGTCAGTCAGTGATTTGTTTTTGTTAAAATATATTTTAATATAGTTTTCAAAGTAAAATATTTGTATTATTTTTTCTCCTTAGAACCACCTGCTATACTTGACCTATTAGAAAATATGGAGTCATCTTCATCATCCATTCATATGAATGAGAAAATGGCCATAAGTGCAATTCAACGATCTCTGATGCAGTGTGAAACGGCAATGAAAAGCCCTTCCTCACCAACTATTTCTCTTCCGGGAACTCCACCTGCCTATACGTCAGCAGTGAGCATTCTGTGTTTACGTTATTTAAAAATGTGTGTGCACAGAAGATGATAAATTTAATTTTCTAACGTTCCATCGGATCCTTTGCAGATGTCTAATCAAACATCACAGGCAGGGGCATTTCCACCACCACCAGTATATCCACAAAGACCAAGGCCAAGTGCTCAACCAACAAGTCAAATGGGACTGCGACCTGGAGCTCCTCCTTATGCGATGACTGCAAATCCTATTGTTAATCAGGTATTTTACACATGCAAATATTTTACTTAATCAGGCTATATCTGCTGTGTCATGTGTGGTTATTTATCTGGTAGCAATTGTTTCTGACCCAAAAAAATCGTTCTTCACAGAGGATGCAGCAGAAATTGTACCAGCAGCAGCGCAGATTACTGCAACAACAGCAGCAGCAGCAATTGCTGATTCCTTCCAATGCTACTGCAGATCAGCTATCACCGGGATTGCAGAATATCGATACTTTGCTGAACAACACTGTGGCTCCAAATGTATCTTTGCAGGTACATGCTCGGAACATGGCAAGTTTTATTTTTTTAAGCATCAGGTGCTTGCTGTGGAAATTCTTGTTCTTTATGAAGCTTTTTCCAGTTGTTTTTGACACGCATCTTCTTAGATCATTGTCGGTAATTGGATGCAGGATTTAAGTAGTGTCCTGTTGGTACATAATATTCAGATATGTTAATATATATCTGTCATTACACTTTTTCAATCATTTATTATTTCATATACAGCATCTTTTCCCTTTACGTCTTTACGTGCATTTGGAAAAACTTTCACTATTTGCCATTAACATATAAAGGAGTTATAGGGGCTAAAAACATTTAGTTATCACCTACAAACACTTGTGAACAGTGATTCACAGACCTTCATTCTGAACGTATCTTTCAGGAATTTTTGGCTTACCTTGTTTAGTAGCTAATTTAAGCTGCATGTACTCGTTGCACTATAGTACTCATGCAATAAAAACTTTGCTTTCTTTCAAAAAGTTTACCAGTACTTCACATCTCATGTAAAAGTCAAGTAAATTTAACCGAAAACCTGGATTTCAAAACCACAAAGAATTTCAGATTTTGTTCCAAAATTATCACAGATCTAATTATTGATTGCATAATTGATTGAGGAAAAACAAAGTTAAAATTATACTCATAATATATTAGAAGCAGTTCTATCAGTATTCATTAAATGTGTATGTAATGATTAGTGTGCTAAATGTATTTTTTTGTCATGATTTTTCTTTAGCGTTCAGCTAGCGTTCCTGATTCACAACTATCTCCAAACTATGGAACTCCCATGCTGAATAGTGGGGCTGCCCAAATTTCTCCTGGCCAGAGGCTTAACCAGCAGCCATACTCCCCTCATTCCCAGCTTGCATCTCCTCTTGGACAACAGCAAGGTTTTTCGCCTGTCAGGTAATTTGAATATACAATTTTTTTTTCTTAAACATTATTGAATATATATATATATATATATATATATATATATATATATATATATATATATATATATATATATATATATATATATAAAATTATTATTATTATTATTATTAATTAAACAAGTAACATTGAAGGAACAGCAACATGTTAAATATATGCAATGCATTCTGTTGTATAAAGGTTCACTGTATAATTTATAAGTAGTTATGTTTTGTTGTGTGGTATTGCTTTGTTGAAGTTTCATACTTGCATATTAATGTGCATTTGTAAATTTTAAAATGTTTTGTGTTTGTTCAGTTCTGGATTGAATAACTTTGCTGGCAACCAGCAGGCAGCGCAAGCACGTTTGTCTCCTCATCCTCCTGGTGGTTTGCCACCCTTTCCTCAGTCGCAGCTCTCTCCTCGCATCTCTCAGGTGGGGAAACATTCTGCTTCACTTCATGTATGCTACTTATTACTGAGCAGAAATGGAATTATTAAAGTTTTGTGTACTTTTGCAATAGAGTCAGCCTGGATATCAGAGTAACATGACCCAAGCAGTAGCTGGTCAACCAAATCCCAATTGGACGCAGGTTGCAAATCGACTCAGTTTGCAGCAACAACAAAATCCCATGCTCAATGCACAGTTAACAGTAAGTACATCCTTGGTTAGTGTCCGTGTTATCATACTAAGTAAATTGAGATTTTATCTTGTTATTAAAATTTTTGCTTGTTACAAAATTGTAATAACAAATAAATTTTGAATTGTTGAAACCATGAATTAATTTGCAGCACTCTTCGTAGTAAATTAACTTAATCATTTCCAAATATGAATGTCATGGTAATATGATTCAAGCGTCATAATAGAAGTACTTGCTAAGTAACACTGTCATTTCTTGAAAACTGAATCTCTTGATGTTGTGTGCAGGGCAGCTATGGGGCAAACGGCACTAGGACATATGCGCAGAGGTCACAGCAGCAACCCCAGCAGCAGCCTCAACAATTGTCGTCTGTGCGGTCGTTGCCCAGTCCAGGGGCACCTGGTGGTCCTCGGCAGTCTCCCTACCAGGCTGAGCAATTCAGTGCTCCACCTGCCTCCCCCACTGCCACTAACTATCAAGCTGCACAAGGTCCGTTTCAGCAGCAGATGCGCTTGCAACGCACAGTCAGTGCTCCCACAGCAACCACACAGTTGCCAGGTAAGATAATTGCTGTTGAAATTCTGGCTTAAACTGTATATTTAATTTTCAGAAGGAGATTATGTCAGTATTCTGCTGAATTGCAGCAATTTATGTTAATTCTTAAGTCTTGTGATATTGAACTATGCTTGCAGTTGAAAGTTCTTCTATTGTATTTTTAGCATTGATGATTTCTTGTGAATGTGGTTGATCTAGGGAGATGAGCCACATAATTTTTCGAACTGCAAACACAGTCTTTGTAGACATTCATTGTTATGTTTTATGACATTTAACTTGAGGTCATTCAGAGTATTATATAATGAAAACTGTGTTCTCAGATCGCTGAAACATGGTCCTTTTTATTCATTCATTTGCAATCCAACCTATTTTGTGCTGCAGAAAAGAAAGTAAATGAATCAGAACAATAAAAGTTTAAATTGCATAGTTTCTAGGGGAGGATTCAGAAACAGGAATGTCATAAATTCCAGTTGCTGTCTTGTCATAATCCATGATGATGTTTGATAGGTAACATATGCACTAATTCATTATTGAATATTCATTTACGTGATACTTCAGAAAAGCAGACGTTATTTTTTTACAAAACTTAAGTAATAAAAGTAGTGATTTGTAAACCTTTTTGGTATAGTATTGAGGTGTCCATAAATTATACATTTGCAGGGCTGTTCTCTTACAATTAATCTTGGTTATTGAAAAAATATATATGTAAAATATAAAGTGTGAATACTGTGAAATTATTAAACCTTTATTATGTAATCATTTGTTTCCATTTTCATATTAGAGAAGTAAATAATTAGGGAACTAATATTCAGTAATGATTTTGATAAGCCATGAAACCTAAAGAATTATTTTTTAATGTTTGCAGCATTTCATACGTATCTGACGTAGACACGTTTATGGAACAAATATTTATTAATACAAGGAACAAAAATGTACTTGTTATTAAAGTGTATACATATTTTGTTTTAAAATACAGGTTTTTTTTGTATTTTAATATACAGTTTTCAATTTGTACTGCATCATTTTAAGATAAGTGAGGCTAATTTTAAGATTTACAATGTGTTTAAATATAAAATGTTGTGACTTTTTATGCCAGGTGCTGCCAAGAAGTGTAAATATGAATGTATATTTTAGTTTAGTTGTAGATTGTGCACACCAAGAACTAGATTCCATAGGAAGTACTATATTCTAGCTAAGAAACTAGAAAAAAAAATTATGTTACGAATTGCCCTTATCTGAACCTAGAAGTATGTTTTCATGAACAGGTAGCAGCACATTAGTTGCAATTTTTCAACATTCATCTCCTGTTCTTTAATGTTCTGAAAATACTGACGAGTATTGTCTTCCACTTGCAAGATGTAAAATATTAGCTATGAATTTTTCGATATAGTTTGTCTGCACAGTAGACAAGTAAGATAGTCAAGTAGTGCTAAATATAACACTTCTCCCTCTTGCAATTTTGATTAGTTTCTGAACGTAAAAATTGACTTACAGACAAAGGCTAAAAGAAAATTTAATTTGAGTAATGAAGGTACTTATTTTACAATTAGGGCATTGAGGGTGGACTTGATGCGCTGTGAGAATGAAAATGTGTGCAAGTGTGTTCGAGGAGAGATGCAAGATGGCTTCGTGGAGCGAGGTCATAAATGGGGATCTATACTTCCACTTGTTAGTTTCCTGGGCTACATTAATAGTATTGAATGAGAACTGTAAACAATCTGATATCTTTATCATTATCTAGCTAATGCTTGTATTCATATGTCTAGCTGTAAGTACATTAGATACTTATGCACCATCAGTTGTTCATGTAACAAATTTATATATAAATATACAATGACTACAGTAGCGTTATTTCACATTTATGATGTACTATACACAATAGCATAAGTTGTTAAAAACAAATCACGTTCCTCACTGTGACATGCCATTATGCTCATGTGTCCTCAAATATTTTTTTCATTTTCCACCTAGCTCCAGTTCCTCACTGGCAACTACATATTAATCATCTTACCATTATATTGACATTATTAGTCACTTGTTTTGGGGTCTTCATGTTCTCGTGTACATTAACTACATTTAACAATAGGATACTTACTAAGAAAGACTTGTGCAAGTAGGATCCCTGCACAATTACCTTGAAAGCACCTACTGCCATTAAGATGACAAGAGCTGTTGTCATAAGAGCATTATTTTTCTGAAATTTGCCCTTGCTGATTTAAAGCATGACTGCCAAAGTTCATGCCACATGACACCTCATTTTTACCTTTTGAATATTTGGTTGTGGCATTTTTGACACTAAATTGTTGTGTGTATTTTGAAATTTGTGGTAGTGTAGAATATTAGATTTGACTCGTAGTTTGATGCTGTTGAGAGTGAATTTATGAGTAACTTAAGTTAATTTCCCCCTCTACAGTAAAATTGAGATTACATTATGCGCTATGCACGACCTCTCTTGCACTCTTTGTATTTTTATTTTTTGAAGAGTTTTTGCTATTGGAGTGATCTTATTCCCCCTGTAGATACCATACTTGCGGAGATGAGTATGGTGTTTTTCTTGTAGGAAACCAGCACACCAGATTTGAACTTTATTTATTAGTTTGGTCTTTCCTCTTGCAGTTTTTATGCATGCCAGTTATTTGAGTGGCTCTGTTCTTTTTGAATCTTTTGAATCTTGACATGTGTTTCTCCTGCCCCTGGCACGCGCCCCGCTGCCTTACAGCTCGCTGCAGGAGGAGGGCGAGGTGGGGCCGCTGCTTGAACTGACTGGAGACACCTGTCCCTGTTCCAGGTGGAGTTAACCCCCCGCGGCTTTATGGACCGAGACACGACCATCCTCATTCCCTGATGTCTCCGACACATCCGGGTCCCATGTCTCCACACCCCTTTCATGGGCATCCCCTGCACCATCCAGTCATGTATCCTCATCCTCCTCATCCACATCCGCCCACACCCGATTCTTCTCCCCAGTTTTGTTTCGATCAGGCCAGTTTACAAATATACGGGGCGAGCGACAGGGCACGACCCCAAGCCCACACACCAACCAATCACCAATCGGGTGGTAAGTCATGTGACCTCCGGACTGTCATGTGACCGCTGTCAGGATGACGCCTCTCTCTCACTCTCTCTTACCTTTGGCTTCTCCCCATCGTCTCACCATGCCTTGGTTGCATCCGCATGCTGTGACTTACTGGCTAGTGAATCCGATTATAGGTTCTGGCCATTGTGTGTTTATTAACATTGCTACATCTAGTCCACTCTAGTTGCCCTACCTTTCATATGTGTCTCAACTGCTATGTAGCCCTGACCTGTGTTTTGTGCTTGTTAATATTTGTGATTTTTTTTTTTTTTGTTGTGTGTACGCTTGTTTTGTGTTACGATCATGTTTCTTTCTGGCCATGTGAATCTTTTTCTTACAAGGCACTGGCAGTCTGTGCTATGGCATGTCTCGGGCGAAACTACACCTGTGAGACATGTTTGTTTGTTTGTTTGTTTGTTTGTTTGTTTTGTTTTTTTTGTCATGAATAATTGGATTTATGTTTGTTGGAATTCAATGGGATATTATGTAGTGGAGGGATATTATGTAGTTGTGTTTTGTCTTTCTGGGAAGATAACTGCTATGAAGTTTCTGAAGTTAACTACTTTAGAATAATAGTCAGAGACCTCATAGATATTTCCTTGTGCTACCTCTTTTGTGATAACATTTTGAAATTTTTAAGCAATGGAAATTGGTTATCAAGTGTTTTTGATTGTGTTAACTTTCTTAATGAATGTTTATTTTTAGTATGCATTTGTGTTGCATTGTGCATTTTTATTTTATTTTTTACTTTTCATGCCCATAACTGCTATTTAGATGTATTGTTTCATGAAGGCATGAGGTGAACCCCAGAGGGATGTAAATGTAACAAAAAACCGCCCTCACGTTTTCCCTATTCCATCCTCCCACCCCACTGCCGTGCACCTAGCTTAGCTTTCACGGCCAACACCATCACCATCACTACCATCACACACAGAAATCTACCAAGAATGTTGTAAACTCTGTGCTTAATGGTCACTCCTCATATTTGTGCTTTGTGAATGGATCGGTCATATGGTTTCTGGGACTGTAAAACTGTGGCAACAATGTCTTACTCCAACAAATACTAATACTGTAAAATGTGTTGTCTAACAGTGTGTTTGATTACCGTCATTGCAGGGCCTAGTTTTATTATGTCTTTTTGTTAAATCTCAATGTTAAATTTGGATATTTTTTGGCTTGAAGGGAAACATTAAAAACAAGTTTGTATGAAATGCAAACTAGTATTTTATGCATGTTCATGTTGAGATCATACCCACCATACATGTGCTTTTGCATTGTTGTGTTTATAAAAAATATGGAATATTTTAGTGGCTGATAAGCTTATTTGTGACAAAAGGATTAACTTAAAAATTTGTAAATTAAATAATAGTTATTGACCAATGTATTAGAATGGTATTGTTATATTGAAATCATTGTGGCGGACATAAGTATTTTGTAATATAAACCAAAGATAAATTTTAACTTAATTGTAAATATATTATAAGTTGTATCTAGTAGAGTGTGTCAAATTATTTATTATAATTTGCAGGGGGCAACAATGGAATGACGTCGGAATGTGTACGTCAAGAATTAAGAGCCTTTGTTGGTGCTCGAACTCAGGCAGGAGCAGGGAATGCTGGTGGTCAACGACAAAATCCACAACAGCAGTCTCAGCAACAACCCCCTCAAACACAGCAGCAGCAACAATTACTAAGCAATGACCTGGACATGGGTAGTCTTATCTACGATCCAACAGGTAAAGTCTAACTTCTTCATACTAATGCATGAAATATACTTCATACATTTATGGGGTCACCAATATTTTGTTTTGTATTACTATAAAAGTCTGAAGGAAGGATCAAATGAATCAATGACAGCATGTCTTAAACTTACTTTTGAATTGAAAAAAGAGTCCTATCAGCTAGAGTCCCTCGATTTTTCTCATTTACAGAATTATGTATTGATGTATGTTCTACCTTTAGGTAGTAGATCTATTAAATTTGAATGATCTCTCTTATGATTTCAGAATTTCTATTATAAAATTACATTCAGTTGAAAAATGCTCCTTTCTTGTTTGTCTCCATCTATTGTGTAATTACAGAATGGCAATTTTCATGAAGATGAAATGAATAATTTTGATACCTTGCAATATGGTAGTGTTGTTTTACCAAAGCTCTCCCTGGATGTTTTTTCAATAATTTGCTCTCCGCACCTTCCTTTTACCTTACCCTTTAGAAGTGTCTTAATTCTGATCTGGGATTCGGATTTTCTTGTATATATAATGTGTCATGTTAAGTGGTGGTTTTCATGGTATGATTGATAGGTGCAGTTGCTTTGCAGTATGGGAAGGGTGGGTAATGTGTGCAAGACATTCAGGAACTATAGCATGCTTTGGGGGTTTTAGTATTTTCTTTTGCACATGTACCAAAAATAGCATATAGTGAAACACAGGATAATTTTAGCGTGGCAGAACTTGTCACAATTTATTAATTATTGCTTGTAAAATTGGGTTATCCTGTGGATACATTTCATGTGTTGGCAAGATGTGATGGTTTTGATATTTGGGCAATTTTTTGCACTTCATGATTTTTTAGTGTTAAAGAAATCTTAATCTACATCTTGCCTTTTCATGATGAATTGGGAATGCTCATGTTCAATGCATATCATGTGGGAGCATGTATTTGTGCAAATCAAGTGCTATTGTGCTGGGATACCTTCATTTATGAGTTTGTACAGATGGAGAGTTCACTAAACGTAAATATCCTCTTATCGTGTATATTCTTAATGCAAGTGACAGTAATCATTTAGCTTACGAGATGTGTCCTCTGTGTTCTTGAACATACCAACTGTTGTTTGGAGAGCATGGGGCCTTCCTCCTTCTCTTGCTTTTAATAGATTTAATGGCCTAAATGTGTCTGAAAAAAACCAACACATATTCAGGTGAAGTTGTGAATTACTTGTACATTTGAAAACACTTGCTGTCTGGTGTCTCTGAGTATATCCAATGTTCTTCAGATGTACATTCTGTACCCAAGGGGCTATTCTTACGAGGCAGCATGCCTTTGTAGTGTATTGATGGAAAAATCACAATTTCTTTCAAGTTCTCATAAGGCATGTTGACTCTCTTTACCAACCACAGCCTGGATTACTACATTCTTCATCTTTTGTGTTGTTGGCTGTCCAGGTTCCAGTGATAGCCCAAAACTTTGGGGTAGCATCGGGTCAGATATGGGGTCAGGGTCAACTCAGCCAGGGCTCTCCTCACGGGTAAGGCTCTGCCACATTCCTGTCGTACATGTGGCTGCTGACATTGGTAGTGACCGGGCTGTCTGCCTTTGTTTGCCTGCTGCCTGCCTGTTTGCCTGCTAGCCTCACAAACAGCCTGCCTGCCTGCCTGCCTGTGCTTAACCTTCAACTTTATTTCTGCCTGCAAACACTTATCCTGCCCTGACCTTGATATGAATAACATCTCCTTTTAAGTACTTTGTCATGTTCCATTTTTTTCTGTTCCTTGCTGACCTTTAAAATCCATTATTTAACGTTCTTTTGTGTTCTGCCTCTTTCCTCCTGTAGCACCATCCAATTTACCAGAAATTGCCTACACACCTTTAAGCCACCTTCCATTTGGAAGATACTTCTCTTTAATTATCACTGCAGCATGAATCTAAAATAACTAGAGGTACACATTGCTGGAGTATTTGGTCAGTATTGCCAAGAAAGTTTCAATTCTTCTTTACATGGTACTCTTTTTTAACAGGTTCTGTATCTAGTGATAGAGTAATGGTTCATTCTATTCATTGGGAAATTACATAATAGTAGTTTCAACTATGTATAAAGCATGTGGTGTGTTCAGTGTTGACAGTTTGTCACTGATAATTTCTTTAATGTTAACTTTCCATCATATTAATACTTATTCATTATTGGGCCCTTGGTTATTTTTCTTCTGAGAGACAGGTTCTGTTCTTATTTCATATTTTGATTAGAGATGAAGCTGTATTATTTTACCCTCTTGCTTGGCTTGATTGGTTGGCAGAATTCAGACACTGGTGCATTGTTAAAAACAAAGTACTGGTGAGCAAAACTGCCTTTGGTATGAGTCTTAAGTTCCCACTTGTTTCATTTACTGTAGATGTAACAAAATTTTGAGTAATTATTTCTTAACCTTTGTTTTCCACATTTCACTCATTGTGTATACAATCTTTTTAATACACTTTGTATATTAACTTTTGTTTCTTCAAAAGCGGCTTGTTTATTTCCAGTTCTTTTAATTCATACACACTTCTTTAGAATGCTTTTTTCCTCACCTTGTTTCTTTAATTTTGTTATGCTTTTGGTGATGTGCAAATATATAGCTTTATATTTGGCTTATGTTTCAATGTTTGGTTAAGTGTGTTTTAGCTGGGCAACGGTGACTATTTTCAATGCTAGGAAATTTTCATTTCTGGCTTGTGATGTTAATAATTGTTTTGTGGTAGGGAAAAGTGATTTCAATGGAGATTCTTCTCTAAATGTTCGTTGTGTCATTGTTGCCCAGCTAGTTCAATTTGATTCATGCAAGAAGTGTTAAATATTTTCTTTGAACTCTACTGAAATATGTTGAGTATCTATTAGAACAAGAAATATTTTTGAATTTTTATTAATTATGTGAACAGGAAAGGGGGGAAACCATAGTAGTTTTGCTTCATTAATTGTTAAATATTTAAAATGTACAACAAATGAATTTTAATTTAATATGAAGATGTCTCACAAATGTTGATTGTTCACATCATTTAAACTTATGCTTGGAAAATTGTTATTTAGCCTTTTCAAGGGAAAACAAATAAACAAAAAAAAACAACTCTTATTTGCCAATACACCAAATACAAGTTGCCTAACTAATTAATGAGACCTTCTGATAATATTTTTGCATTTTTTTTTTTTTTGTTGAATTTGTGCAAGGAAAAATTAGTAACTTCACTTTCAATGTTAAATGAGATAGAATATTTTGGATCCCTCTACCAATTTAGTGATACATTTTTTCTGTGTACAGAGTACTATGGAGGAGTCACCACGACCCGGTGATCAGAAAGCATCACTTCTTCAGAAGCTTTTGTCGGAGTGAAGTTCTTACAACTTCTAGCCATCTCCTAAGTGTTACTGCTGCCACTTTTTCTGTTTGGACAATGATGTGATTGTTTGAGCTCAAAAGACGGAACAAAAGTGTTCAACAGACAGTACTTGATTTATTGTTACAAAAGTGCATTAATATGGAATTAGTGTTTATTTTTCATATTTTTTCTCGAAGTAGGGAAACATGAAGAAAAAGCAAACACTCATTTCGTCAATGTGAGCTGCATTATGTGTAGAGTGGTGACGTAGGGATGAAACATTGCACCCCAAGAAAACAGCGACTGCCATCAATCTTTACAAGAACTGGATATTTGCGGCAAGCCTTACAACAATGCTGTACATTTTGTACCCTTCTCTTTAATTTACCACATTTAAAAGAAACAAATGTCCATTTGTATCAGGATCTCATGTACTATGTATTTCCACAAACTGTCATTGGATTTGATTTAGTTTTATTTGTCATGGGTGACAGTTTATCATCTATTTTATGAAGTTTTGACATGTGGTGTTGGAAGTTGTGAGCATTGGAATGTGAGCTTGGTAAGTTCTTCATGTGTCGTCTGGCCTAGTCATATGAATTAGTGAGCAAATTAATTTGGGAGGGTGGCCACCGGTCATGTGAAGTGTTGAAAGGTGAGTTATGTGCATAATTTTTATGACAGTGTATCAATTTTTATTTTTAAAAACAAGAAACTGTGTTCAGATATTTATATAACATGTTAATCCAGCTTCTAGCTGGGATGTCTTTGCAGTGAATTGTGTACAGTTGTTGTTTGTTTTATGCTTGTCAGTGGAGATCCATATCATGCTTTGGGACATAAAAACTACTGTTTTGCACGGCTTTGGAGACTCCATTTGTACATTTGTTATATTATTCATATGCATATATATTTTAATAGAAGAGTAGTTATGTACTAGCAAGCTGTCAATTAAAGTTCAGATATAAAATTTGTGGTGACTGCCCTCCCAACCCTGCCACAATGAAGCAGCTATTTTGTAGTGGAAAATAATGGAATATTATTACACAAAACAAGAGGGCCATTTTCTTTGACATGGGGATGGTGTATGTTTTTCTCATCCCTGCTCTATGTTGGGTGTCATTGCCAGGCATTGCCATAGCTTTTTTGCATCTGGTGGCTTCTTAATGTCTCCTTGTTTGTAGCATCAGTAACTTTGCATATTGGGCCATTCCACTTCTCACAGCCAAGTTTTTGTTGGCCATTCCACTTTGCAGAGGCATTGAGTGGTAAGGTTGTTTTATGTTAGATGTGGAAATAAAACGGTAGAGACAACATATTCACACTTGAGATGGGTATTATTATTGCTCATGATTTGGGCTTTTAATTAAAGACTCATCAACTCTTTTCATATTTCTCTTTCTTCTTTTAGTAAACAATTATATGATTATTGACATTGTTTCCTCCTGAGAGTTGTGAAGCACGTTTTAATTTCTTTCCTATCTTGCCTATTTCTTGTCTGATGTTGCATAAAATCATGATAGAACCCAGCTGGATGTCCATAAAATGTGTCTTTCTTTAAAATACTTAGTTCATATAATTTATTATTACATTTGGAATACTATCGTCATTATTTCATTTATTATTAATATTATTGGAAGGTCAGCTACCTTCTTCACATTTTCTCTGCAGATATTCTCATGTTTTCTCATTTGTGAATATGTTTCAGTGACATGAAAAGTGGTTTGGCAAATAAGCCAAAAGAGTGGCTGACAACATAAAATAAGATCAAAGATAGATAGATGTGTAGTAAGGACTTTCATGACTTTGTCAGTTTCTATGAGTTTAATAAAATCACAGATATCTCAAATTATGATACAAAGTGCAGAATCGTAAGAAGGAGAAAAAGAAGTATTTTTGCAATTCATTATTCACAGTTTAATATAATATAATTTTTCAAACATTAGTTAAAATGAATACTTTTTATTATCAGGGCAAACATTTCCTGTTCACAGTGTATAAATATATTCATGTTCTAAAGTGTTTAATCTTGACATCTCTGTAATGGCAAATTCAGTGTGAAATACTGGACATTCTTATCTATCTATGATCTGGAACCGATCAAATCATTTCCAACGAATTGATTTTGTTTCAGTATAAGTAGTCTTCCACAGGAACAATTTTCTTGTTTGTTCTTCTTTTAACAAAGTAATGATAGTCTCCTACTTCCTGATATTTATTAGAGCTGTTTTCATATGTTGTAAATGTCAGACATTGGAATTGGCTCACACCTGTTTATACTTATTATCTGCAGGAATAATGTGTGACATATTTCCTGTTCTTGTTCTGTGTACTAGTTCTAGCTGTCCAGAAGTCTGGTGTTATCGTGATGAAGAAGTACAAAGCTTTGTGTTATGTAATATATCTCTGCACTCTCGCTCTTCTACCTGCAAAATAAAAAGCAGGTCACTCAGCACACACTTACATACACAAATGAGGAAGACCTGATGAAGGGTATAAGAGGTGTCATGTTTCTGTGTGTCAATCTGTGCAATTATTTCTATGGACTTGTGGTTGTGAACTTACGGACTGATTGAAGTATATAAAGCAGTGCCGTGGGAACAAAGCGACAATGCCTCTGCAGCAGTTGTTTTTGTTGTAATAAGTAAAACCAAAGCATGTATGTAAATGATGTACAGAGGACTCTAGATGAAAAATGAGGGTAGGTAGTTAGACTTCGGGATAATGATTATTATTTTTTAATGTAGGGTTAAATAAAGATTCATCTTTGGAATAAAAGAAAAACTAAATAAAAATGGGGAATAGAATTGGAATTTTGTCAACAAAACAACTGGACTGCACTTGTAGGAGTTGACAATAGATAGGCTGTTTCCATGTAGATGAATATAATAGGGAGCCACCCACTTGAGAATGTAAATTTGGTTAATATTTTTGTATACATATTCTTAAAACCAGGTCCAACACCAAACAGGTTGGCATGGCATGTGGAAACAATGTTATTTTTTTGTAGCGTGTCAGGCCATTGGAAGCCAGGTGCAAGAAGTGTAAAGAAAGAAAAGAAGCTGTTTGTATCTTTACGTGTAAGAAATTATAATTATTATCATTCTCATTAATACGCTGTCCTTGTTCACATCTTAGTTATGTATAGTTGTTCAGTTTTTGCCATTGCGGAAATATGGCATTAATACTGATGCTTTTTTGAAAATATGTATCAAGGTTTTATTAAAGAGCAAAGTTGATATTTAATTACAGAAGGATAAACGTGATCTATGTTAATGTACATACTGTGTTTTTCTCCCTTGGTTATATACCTGTTACAATGTTGCCCTTGTGTTCTGTACATTTCTTATTTTCCTCTCATGAATCCATCTATCTTGATTTTGTAAACGATAGCATTTATCTCCTTCCATTCAAACTGTTTGTAATTTGTGTTCACGTACACCCACCCCATGAGGTGTCATTTCAATTCTGGTCAGTTTTTATTACATTAGTATGAAAAATGTATGCTGGCACATAACTATAATCATAGATAAGTTGTTTTAAGTTCCTGTAGGTCATTTGTATATACAGATTATTTTTTAAAATGTGTAGAAATTGTTGAAATAAGATATATTTCATTTGAGAGTATTTTGACATTGAGAGGTGCACAGACTTCTTTTAGGTATTGTTACCTGGCATTTAAGAATAAAACTTTATTGCGTTTTGTATATAACTACAACAGTCATTCATGTTTTTGATTGTGTTATAAAAGTAAAAGAGAGGCAAAGGAAAAGATTTTACTGCATTGGGATTTTTATTAGTTTCTGCTAAGGAAGTTAATGAGAAATAAAGTACTGTTTTGCTGAAGAAATGGTGCCGTTGTTTAGATTTCGTTAATTATTCTGAAAGCCATTAGGCAATAAAATCTGTAATGTAAAAATAATTCTTTGTTATTGTTCCTTTCTCCATTTGTGCTGCTTTGATAGCATATCCTTTCTTTTTATCTGGAAATGGCTCATTGACTATGATGTGTTTGCGAATATTTATTGGGTGTTCAGAAGGAGCATGTGCACCACCTGATATATATTTCCTTAATAAAAATGAAATCATGACCGTAAATTTGCAGTTGAATATTCAGTGCACAGTGAAAGCATAATAAAAAACAAATATTCCAACTATGTCACTCAAAGAATTTTTTGTTTTTATGATTAATGATCTAGTTTGTGTTAGAATTTCATACCTTTGTGCTGATAGGGGAAATTCTTACCCTTAATTGTGAAATGATTTTCAGTGATCAACCACAAACCAATATTACCAAGTATATTTCTTGATGGTTGAAATTCAATTCTCAGGAAAGCTATTAACATCACTCTGGATAAAAAGAGCACTCAAACTTTTTCGAACACTATTTCTATAGTGATAGAGTAAGAATGCAAAGAGATTTGTTCCACATCTGATGAGATAATATACCCGCTAGATGCAGAATATTCTATTAGTACTCCATTACATAGCAAAATTTTTCTTTTCCTGGTCGTGAATATTTTAATACTTTGGTTTCAAGTTTTTCTTTGGTAGAATCAGCATTAACAAATTATAAGATTTGAAAACTCCTGTATTTAAATTTGTTTGATTTGTACTTCATTGAAGATAAGTTAAAAGGTTTAAAAAAAATAGGATGCTTTGTAGTAATTGCATAATGTTTTAAAATAAACTTTGCTATGGTGTAAGTAAGTAAAGTTTTGAGAGCTATTTTAAACTTAATAAAATTTGTTCAAAACTGATAAATAGTAACATTACGGAAAAAGCATTCATTGAATGTTCTTTCTAGAGTACTATTTGTAATGGAAACTAAACAATAAAATTTGCAATGAAGTAATTGCTCAACTTGTTCTTCAGGGGAGAGAAGAAAAGTAAAATGCAATATCCACCTACAAAATTGCTAAAATATTGTGTCTCAAGGCTGAAAGACTATATTTTTATGTGCATTGTTCTCAATTGAATTTTCTTGTGTTAATATATTTTCATTGAAGACATATTTAATATGCATTTTATGTAAAATGGCTACTGGTCCAGATTGACAAAATTCCTCTTATTTTGTTTTGTCTACATCATAATTTGACATACTCACAAGTATAACAAGGTTTGTTGTGAAAAATAGAATGTATCTCTGAGAGGAAAAGGATTCTGGGGAAGAAATTTCTCATAGTGGTTCTTACTAACTTTGTTTTAGGTAAGTATGAACTAATTCTCATTATAACCAAATGTGTTTTAAAACAATTATATCGGTTTGCGTTTTTTATTACAAACTAAATACCTATGCTTTCTCAGGTGATTTTAAATTCACGATACTAACTTAATTTTAAGAGTCCTAAAGTAGCAAGAGATGGAACCGAACATTTATTATACAGTTTTTGGATAGTTAGAAGCGCCTACCCTCAAGTAAGAATTACTCATATTATCAGGGGGGGAAATAAGCGATTGAACATATTTACGGAAGTAAAATGTTACACTTCACAAGTCTTCGGGACTTCTTTCAAAATTTACAGATACATTCACAATACTGAGTGAGCTTGTCTATATTTAAAACTAGTACACCCGGTAGTGCTTTTTTATTGCAGTTTTACACATTGCTCACTACTAGTCACATCATCATTAATCACTTTTTACGCTATGGTGTGTAAAAATTTTAATAGATTAAAGAAGTTCTGGCAAGAATGGGTTTGGCATATCTTGATTTGGACATTGTTGTCAAATAGCCTATTGTTAAAACGTTCTTCCTCAAATTTGGGCATGAGTGACACTATCTTGTAAAAATTTGATTCACTAATAACTCCGTTTCACAAACGCAGGGGCGAAGTACTTGACTGTTCGGACGGTTGCGTAGAGTTCAGGGGCGCTTGCAGTTGTCATAAACAAATAAATCATCAACGCCCTCACATGTCCGATTTTGTTTAAACCGCTCTGTAAACATTTCCATTGCTAATTAGAACGAAGTGTGAACATTTCAGCAAAATCGGTCGAGTAGTTTTTGCGTCTGTGTAAGATACATACACATTCCATTTTATTTATATATATATATATATATATATATATTGTAACACCTCCCTTTACGTAGGGAAACGCGCGGTTAGCGGCCCGGTTCTAGCTCACTCGGTCCTACTCCCTTTACTCGTATAAAAAGTAGCCAATTGTAACAACTTTACTCGTGTGAAAACTAG